CAGCGTCTCCCCCGGCCAGCAGGGACGGAGGCCTCGGCCCATGGCCTGCTTTGCTGTGCGTGGAGAACCGGGTTTGAAGGCCACTTACTTGGCAGCGGTTTCAGCCGCAGTTCAGGCGCTACAGTCACTCCCATCTGTCACCCCACCCTGCAGCCCCACCCAGGCCTCAGCGGCCGAGGGAGCTGGAGGCTCGGAGCTGCCAGCAGCTAAGTCATGTTTAACTCTAATGTTTTATGGGTCACACGTGCACTGTGGGAGCGGCTGGGGGGACAGGCCAGCACGGGGACAGCCCCCACCTCAGGATAGGGTGCCAAGCAAGCGCGAGGAGGGTCGGGTTAGACAGCCCCTGCCACGCTCCTTCCCTTCCCGCGTGGAAAGGCCCAGGGAACGCCGCTTGCACGGGGACAGTCTGGAAGAGTAGCCCTGGGACTGCCGTGGGGCCGAGCAGGCTGTCCTGCAGCTAAGGCCCCAGCCACCAGGCAGAACGCCTCCCACGGGCATTAGTGCGACCCACTGGCCCCACAGGGCACCTGAGGAAGCCGAGAGACCAGCCCTGTTGGAAGTGGAACAACCGGAAACGGAGTGCCTGAGCGAAAGGGGGCAGAGTGGATCTCCTACAGCGAGATGCATAGACACTGCTCCCCCCCAGCTCATGTCCTAGGGAGCCAACAGCCCCCATGGGTCTCCATGCTCCCAGAAGGGGGCACCCCCCCAGCCTTCAGAGCCAGATGGAGCACCCTGTGCTCTGGCACCAATTTAAAGGGCCCGGAGCAGCAGCCAGGAGCCCCAGACTCCTTGAATCACTAGGCCCCGACTCCCTTGTGCCTCCTCCGTGGGCCTGCATAGATCAGGCTTCCAGCTGGTCTTGCCCATCAAGACATGTATGAAGCAGTTGCAACTGCTCCCTTCCACCCTTCCTCTAGGCATCTCCCAGGGCCCTAGCGCCCCACCCTGGCTCGAGGAGCCACCGGAGCCAGAACTCAGCCATTCTAGACGGAGGGCCAGATCCCATGGAGGGTGGGCATGCACTTCAGACTCGCTCCCACCCCGCTGTCACCCCCCCCCCCCCCCCCCCCCGGGGCCACCGCCAGCCACTGGGTGGCCTAGTGGCCCTAATGAGCCAGGCTTTGGCCCTTTAGTAAGGGGGAGGCCCAGCTGGGCCGAGACGGTCTTGCCAGAGCTCAGCCTTTGACGGGCAGGCTACGGGCAAGCCTGCATGTGCCAGCGCCTCCCACGCAGGGGGCAGAACCACACGGCAACAAGGACTAGCTTCCTGCGCCCTGGCTGGATCCAGACACTGAGCAGCAATACACGGCTGGCAGTTTGGGGGCGGGGAAGTATCCCCAGTAGCTCCTGTCCTGCTGCACACAGCCCTGCCCGGCTCCCACAAGGCTGTGCACAGGACAGGAATGGACCCTGATCTCCCATGGCTGCAGTAGAGCTCTAACCACTGAACCTTCCCTCTGCCACCCCGTGAGGATGCCAAGTACCTGGCAACGTTGGGGTTCCGGATCAGCGTCAAAAGCGTGTTTAAGCTACCGCAAGCTCTGACGCGCCCTCCCACACAGGGCATCTTGGCAGGCAGAAGTATCCAGAACTTCACCATGTTTGGAATTGGGTTTAAGGGCAACTCTCTAGGTGGAGATTAGTAACCGTGACAGCAGCCACATTTGGGGGCCTCCCAGAGGTGCACACCCTCCCCCCAAGCCCCATTTTACTCCAAGTAGCCTTGGAATTCCATGGCTTTAACAGGGGAGAGTGTCAGACACCAACCTTAAGATGCCCAACAAGAACGCAACAGTGTTTAAAAGCCGGTTGTAGCCAACTCACACTAATGTCAGAAAGGCAGATTCACGGGCAGGCCTGAGTACCCAGCATGCACCAGCTGGGTGAGCTTTGGCAGCAAACGTGTCAATCTGGTCCCAGTCAGAGCCTGGGCCAGGGACAAGACTCCAAAGCTCCTGCCTCAGTTTCCCCTCAGGGTTACCCTTGCAGCCGGGCTGTTTAAAAGCCGGTTGTAGCCAACTCACACTAATGTCAGAAAGGCAGATTCACGGGCAGGCCTGAGTACCCAGCATGCACCAGCTGGGTGAGCTTTGGCAGCAAACGTGTCAATCTGGTCCCAGTCAGAGCCTGGGCCAGGGACAAGACTCCAAAGCTCCTGCCTCAGTTTCCCCTCAGGGTTACCCTTGCAGCCGGGCCATTCAAGGTGCCTCAAGCAATGCTCCAAGCCACACATGGTCAGACCAGTAACCAACGAGTCACATCAGCAAAGTGCCCTGACACATCCAGTCTACCTCACTGCTGGAAACAGGATCACCACATGCAGGCAAGCTACAGAAGGGCTTGGATGGGTGGAGCTCTCCGATTTGGCACCCGAGTTCTTGGGCCGCCCCTGGCTACAGCACAGCGAGGCAGAGTTCATTCTTGGCGGTCTGAGGGGACTCGGCCTATGCACAGGGGCTGACCGCTTTAGCTCCGAGGAGATCCAAGAGCACCGTTCAGAACAAAGCCGGATTGGTCCTCCACGCCCAGGGAGAGGGGTACACAGCCAGCTGGCCGCACACTTTCCTTTTCACGGGTCAACGGCAGAGTCTCTGCCCCACGTGCAGAGTGGACCGGGCTCAAGCCGTGACCCACCCTTCAGCTCACCGGTCTGCCAGACCTTTCCTCCCCAGGCCTGCAGGGCAGGAAGCCACCTGGGTGGGTCGCCGCCAGCCACGTCCCAAGGGCAGGCTCCCCTGCTGTCGGCAGCCAGCCTGCCCCGGATGCAGGGCCCAGCACAGGAGTGCACGCCATGGCTCAGCAGGTGGGCCAGGTGCCGAACCCCACGGCCAAGCCAATGGGCGGGGGGGAAGCAAACAAGGCGCCGAGTTAATGGTTCTCCAGCAGGCGCGGGAGGCTTCTCCGGGCGCGCCTCACCTGAGCGTGAAGGGCAGCAGCGGCGGCAGCAGCGGCTGGATATGTGAACGCAGCATGGGGGATGGCGGGGGGTAGCTCTGTGGTGTACAGTGGGTAGGGGGCCCAGGCCTCTGGAGACGCCGGGATAAGAGCTGCTCCAGGCAGGTCATCTAAGTGAGAGAAACAGTGTTTGAGACACGTGCCGGGGTCTGCAGGCCCAAGCAGAGCGCCAAGCGAACGGGAGCTCCCTGGTAGCGCCCCGCCTCCGCGCCCTGCACAGCGCCTCACACCCGGCGCAGCTCAGCCGCTGGCCAGCCCCAGGGGCTTGGCACAGGGATGCCGGCCCTTCCCAGCAGTGAGCCCTCCCACCGGGGCCGCGCAGGAGGGGCTGACAGGAATGCAGCCGCCAACATGGCAGCTCCTCCCGCAGCCTGCACGCAGTGCTGGGTCCCTGGCGACCCTTGTGGTCCATGGAGCTGGCTGCTCCCGCAGAGCCCACCGGCAGGGCCCGCAGCACCCACAGGGGACACTGGACTCCCCCATATCAGCGCCCTTCCACAGCCAGGCTGCAGCAGGGACAGCAGCACACCCGAGGGCAGGCCTCAGCACAGCTATTCATGAACGTGAGGGAAGCTACCCCCACACCCGAGTCCCTCCTCCCCCAGCCCCCCAGGGCACTCACAGGGGTCCCGTGCGATGAAGTGTGCGCCCAGGGCGGGGTGGATGTTGGTGGGGTTCGGTGTGGCCATCAGCTTGCTCTTTGCCATTTTGGTGTTGGCTTTGGCAAACTCCAAGCGCAGGGTCTGCGGGTTCTCCGGGTCGAAGCGGATGCCCTGCAGGAGGGGAACAGCATCTTGCACTGCATCCGTGTCCCCCCTCCCTCCCCCGGTGGGTTCAGACGAGTGCTGGACTAGTCACATCTTCCCAGCCAGGGGCCACAGCCCACCCAGTTACACAGGGCAGCTCAGGACACTGGAGCGGCCCATAGCAGGTCAAGTCTCCCATAGAACTGGCAAGCTCTTCCCCCTCCTCCCAAGCAAGCTGTGGCTGATCTGGTGCCATGAGTGCACATGGGGGCAGGCCCCAGCCATGCTCAGCAGTGCCACGTGTCAGAGGGTGGGGCAACTGTGCCCAGGGCATGTCCGACTGGGCTGGAGACAGGAGAGCCCTGGCCCTGGGCACGGCTGCTCTCCTGGGAGCCCTGGGTGGGGACACCAGGCTGCAAGTGTCGTGGAGAAAACAGGAGCATGAGCCCATGCAAGCCACAGGCAGGAGCTGCCTACGCC